CTAGTGTATCAACCAACAGCCGATTCAACTGCCGCTGCGGTACGATTGTCACTGGGTCAGATTTGCTGATCCCGATAAAAACCGTCGAAATCTACACCCTCGATGAAAAGGTTGCATTCCTCCATTTCATAACCTTTGAAGCAGTTTGAGGTAGGGTTAGATAGAGCTGGATTTCGCGTTTCCAAGAAGTATTGAAATTGCTCTGAAAGCCTTCCATGCAGAAAGATAGGGTCTCTCAAATTTCGTCGAGTAAACGTCGAGGACGCTGAAATTTTCACGCGAGTTTTTGCCACTTCAAGAGCAATATCTCTCTAAAACGTGAGATCCTGAAAAAGGAAGATAGTTTTGGAAAGCGGAAGGTTTGCGCTTTCTGATGGTCTTCTTAGCTTTCTTCTACATTTCCTAGTTGAGAAGATATCTGCGTCGAGTATGTATCGAGGACGGATCCGGCCACCTGAAAATCCGCTCCCTTCTTCACCATTGCAAGTGTAATTGTTGGCAACGCTTGAAATGGGTCTAGAAAACATCCTCCCAACATAAGCAATAGGAAAAGGGGCAATCGTCATCATCGATTTTGTCTGGTATAGGCCATGCATCCGACCTCACTCGAAGTTGCAGAATCGATTCGAAGGTGTTATATGATCATGACCAGTTGACAGAAGCTGCATTGTAGTAAACACATTTCGTAACTCCTACAACCTGAAGAACAACTTCATTTGCCCAGGGCTTTTCCTTCACGGTTGTCGTTTTTGCGACAGGGTCCCTAACAACAGTGTCATTCTCAGCGAGGTATTAAGGGAGAAGGAGCGAGCGATAGGCAGAGGAGGTGCCTTTGCAGCGCGTGCGCACATGTGGCAGTCTTCTTTGCGGGGATGCACTTTCATTCTTTGTACTGCCTTCAAATACGCCCTTCTCATGAAGGTGGAGGAATGGAGCGACTGAACCTGCAAAGAAAATTTAATATCATGTTTTTTTCAGATATTTTCATTTTCTGCTGCGCTATACCCTCTTACCTATCTGCACCACGATACCACTGCTGTTACTGACCCCCAAGAGTACGACTTCCCATGACCCAGCCCGACAGGTACGACTCCCCTGTCGAGGATTTCCTCGACCGATATTCACCCTGTTCTACACTGCGCATCTGGCATTGCACTTACCAAATACTATTTGAATCTCCTACAGAACTCTATACTGTTTAATTACTGCTTATTTAGATATGGCGTCGAACTCGAGGAAAAGGAACCAAAGGTCTGGCTCTAGGCTAACTTGCAGATCGCTTCTATATCTCGTCACTGACTCCAAACAACTATCCAGCCTCCATAGCTTCACTTATCCTGTTGTATGCGGGCGTTTCTGTGCTTTTGGATAGTTGTATTGATCTCATTACTTTGTGTACTCGTGAAATGAATAATGATTTAGAGGATTTGATGTGAAGAGAAGCGAAGACCTGATCAAACCGTCAACTGAAAGCTGTGCAAGAAAACATTGATATCAAGTCTTGAGGGTGTCAGCGAGCACAAGTTGCGCTACAGCGTCCACAAACTCAAGTTTTAGTATGTGCTTGCCCGAGCTCACCGCCTAGAGTGAGAAGAACAACCGAGCCAGCTCCAAATCCCAACTATTTTCGAATTGTGCGATTATTTCGAAAAAAAGGGGAATAGCTTGAAATGGTTGGCGCACTGTCAACAACTTCCCGGGTAGAATACATTTGATTATTCAAATACAAAACACTACATACTACTTGTTATCCACATCAACATTGCTAGGAGTAAGATGGCTTTCGCTCCTGTACCTGTTCTCTTCGTCCCATCTCAACAACGTGGTCGAGATGTAGCAGTTTATATTCTGTCAGACGACCACGAACTGTGTTACGAATTCCATTACAAGAGCCGTTTGTCAGACCAAGTTACTGATGTATACATTTGCTACGAATGTCGAGGGCTCAAAGCAAACACAGAAGCATATCCTCAACCTTGTGCCAGCTGTAAGGTGAGGAATAGACTGTTCATTACTGATCCGGCAAACCCTGCTCGTCCGCATTTCTGCGAGCCTCGAAACACTCATCAAGCTGCTGCAAGGCGCCTCATCATCGAAAGATGCAACGAGATTCGGCGCAGCTCTGCAGAACTTCAGCGACCACCATCACTTGAGATGAGTGAGATGGTATCAAGATTGAATGCAGAAAGATTCGGCTAGTACTACAATTTTTATATTTTACAATAACGGAGCTCTGTCCATCACGCTCGAAGGTTAGCTTCACAAACGTCTCGTAGGGCCGCCGTGACCCACCTCTAACATTTGTTCCCTATGCACTCGAAATTGTGCCGCTCTGCTGCAGCTGGACCCGCATACCGTGCACATACCGTGCAACATCGTGCACAAGCCGTGCAACACCGTGCATGGCATGTTCACGATGTTGCACGGTGTTGCACGGCTTGTGCCCGATGTTGCACGGTGTTGCACCGAAGGACTGTTTCGATGGGAATATATTCTACACTTTTCATCGCCTGCGCATCGCTGGCGATGACTCCCTCACGACCTCACGTCTGGCGGGGGCGTGCCCATACTGTATAAGCCTTGAACAGATACTACAATCATATACCTTCTCTTGCAGCCATACAATAAAGGCGTTCAACTCTTCTCTCTGTACATAGTTTTCCTCCTCATATAAATCCACTGAACCACCGCAAGGTGACATAAAAGGGTCCACCATAACCCTAAGTCTCTAGTCACCCGCAACAACACTGCTAGCTCACGTAACGAGAGTTAAATCGTTCCAATCTAGTATGAAGCTATTTCAAATCATTACAGACGCTTCCTAATTAGTCAATTCTAGTCGGTTAGGAAGTCGTTAAGATATTTGAAGATAATGAAAACTTCGCGTTCAGATGGTTTTCGGTGGAAGAGCGGAGAGCAATGGTATAGCAACTTGCCATGCCATCGACAATAGGTCGAGACAACTTCAGAAGGAATATACACAGAGCTCAGAGCTATGCCAGAAACCTGAACCTCCAAATGCCTGGCCAGATTGTTAGTATTTAATATATATATATATATATATATATATATATATATATATATATATATATATATATATATATATATATATATATATATATATATATATATATATATATATATATATATATATATATATATATATATATATATATATATATATATATATATATATATATATATATATATATATATATATATATATATATATATATATATATATATATATATATATATATATATATATATATATATATATATATATATATATATATATATATATATATATATATATATATATATATATATATATATATATATATATATATATATATATATATATATGACATCTGACTGGATGCCGCTTTCAATACTTCAGATGACTAACAAGTTTGTAGGATTCTTCTCTGTGTTCGTGCTATGCGGACAGGGAAAACTTTTTGCTCGATGATGGTAATATGATCATCTTAGCCAGTCGGGCACTGTGGGTGACAGTGATCACCCAGCTGCGCATTCGCACTGTCTTCGTAAGCACAGTCCTATATATTTTGATCGAAAATTTTATCAAATTCGATGCTTTTAGGGTGATGGCCGATATAAGCAGATACCTGCAGCGGTGAGGCGAGGAGCCTCGTCACAGTTCTATACCCTTTAGTGGAGTTGGAGGGTTTCCATACAGCGCCGCTCTTTTCTTTCATACGTGACGGAACAGAAACAACATACAGGCGGCTGTACTTCTTCTCTTGGGCTGAAATAGGACCCCTCGGAGGTCATCGAGCGTTAACCCAACCTGACTGCAAAATCGTATTGGTTTTGAAAAAGCAGCTATGGACGCGGTATCAGCGGAGATGCCCGGAGTTTGCTTGAAAGGGTATGTTCGCAAAATATACCAACACCATAACATTATCAATCATAGTCATTTTTAGGTACTTTTTTCACTATACGCAGTGCATTCTGCGGCACCGCGACGAACTTCATCTTCGATCTGCTGCCAGCAAGAATGCGGTTATTCGAGTATTCTTCCGCAGAATTCAGATGTTACCGCTCCTTCCACCGCAGTATATACGGTTATCAGAGGCCCTACGAGCACCTGCTCCTCCCTTGGTTACCCCAGTTGAACACAATGCCATTCTTGCATTTTTGAGGTAATGGAAAAACATTGTAATTTCTTGAGGCACTGGTATGACAACGATTATTACTTTTTAAGGTACTGGCATGACACGTGGGGCGCTTTTGGTCGCTTTGGAAACAACTTGTGGGACCACTCATCCACGTCGGTTCCAGAACCACTAACCACGCGGAAGGGTTCCACACTAAAATTCGAACAGCGTTTCCCAGGAACTCGCTCTCGAACGCTGGTACAGAGGTTCGCCAGAACTCAACTTACGACTGCCAAATCGGTTGTCGTATCAGCAAGGGATATGGGAGCTTCACCGTATGTCAGACCGCAAGAACAACAAAGGCAGAGAGAAATCGCTACGGAAATGCACAGGTTGAGGGAGGAACATATTAACAGAAATGTTATGCCTACCACGCGACAGTGTAAAGACTACTTGGATTTTATGGCTCAACGTCTCGCACATTAGTCTAACACTATTTACTCTATTTCCTTTATATGAAGACGCTTTTTTCTGCTTAATTCATAATAAATGTCTTGGTAGTAGTGTGACACATCATACAAACATGCCATTTGAAGTGAAGAACACAAAACTGAAGTAGAAATCCGCAGCTATTATCAGCACTAACCATCAAGACCATTGCGCACTGCTTGCTCATTATTGTGTATCGCTCACAAGAAACAGCCCTGCCACGGCTTCTCTGCGCTCTAGCCGGCTGGATAGGGATGCAGCGGTTTCTATCTGCGGGGAGAACACATACGGCAGAAGGGCGCCTGAGTCATCCGCAGCCCCAATTTCTCTGCACTCTGGCTGTTCGCGGCAGGGAGCATAGAGGCGAGTTCAACTAGTTACGTAATCATATCGGCCGGCTCATACTGTATAAGCAACTATGTGCAAAATCCTGGTCAGTGCGGAAAGAAGAGTAGTCGTGGTAAATGAAGACTGCGTTTTATTCAAAATTTAAGAGGAATTGGGCGTCTTCTGTCGAATTATACAAGGAGTCCGAACAAAGTCCGTGCTGAAATGCGGCCTTCCGTGAGCAAAACCACCGTGTGGTGGTAAGCCAGCAGAGCAATAACATCTTCAGCGGATTGATGAAGAGCGTTCCAAGATTATTTGAGCGCTACAAGATCGCACGTCTCCATTTCTCCGTGGAAAAGGGCTCAACTTAATGAGCGAAGGTGTGGCTGTTAAGACCCTTCGCGATCTTGGACTCTACCTCCTTGTTTCGTTGCTACAGGTGATCTGAGATCGACGTGGAAAAAGTTTATTCTAGGTGGATCTGATAGAAAAAGAGGGTACAGGAGGATCCCGTGAAAATCGCAGATGGTTTCAATGTAACGTAATTTCGGCGGTGAATCCCTTATGGTTTGAGGCACCTTTGAACGACTGAGCGGCTAGAGCTCGCTTTTGTTTCCGTTCACAAAGATTCCATAGGGTATCGTGAAGTTCTTTTGAAGCGAGTTTACCATTTTTCGACAACAACCCCCTCGATCCTTGATTTTTACGCACGATAACGCGGCTGTCCATGCCGGTCCTTCCACGCCAGATGGAAGTGCAGGAAAAATGTGGCAGTTCTCTGGTGGCCCCATGTTATCTGAATCAGATTCCAATGGAG